AATATTCCAGCTACTCGCTTGTTTTGAACTTTCAGATACAAGACTGTATATATTCCCTTTTTTACCTTATCCTTCTCTTCCAAACACCCAACCAAGGGAAGAATTGTTATCACTAAAATCTAATAAGAAGTCATTTATATTGGTTATATATAAACTAGGGCTGCAACTAACGATTATTTTAAAAATCGATGAATCGGACGATTATTTTTTCGATTAATCGATGAATCGGACAAAAAATATTTTTTATATTAACCTCTTTATTCCAAAATAAACATTTTAGACAGAACAAACAAGCACACAAGTACAGGTTGCCCATTAAATGTACTGGTGCAATATGAAAAATAAATGTTTGTGTTAAAACTACGCAAACTTACATGAGAAATGTAGCTGTACATCCACAAAATATAGGGTACTTTGTTTCATAAAGTGCAAAAAAAGACATTTTTTTTAAAAGCCCCTAAGGGGTTCAAACAATAGGTCCCCCCATTTCAACAAATGAGGTTTTTTTTAGACTAGAAGAGTTCTGCCTTTTAAGACAGGAAAGTATAGCAGTTAAAGTTGCTACTTGAGAAAATACTTAACCATAGAGATAAAAATAGCCCTGTGATTCAAATTATAAATTGTATTTGGAATAAAAATGAGAGAACTAGGGGTGCTAAAAAACACATCCTCCAAAGACAGATATTTACATGGGAATGTGGCATATAATTAATTGACATATTACTGATCTTGCTGGATTTTATGCTTTACTTCCATAAATTGCAGGATCTTCTTTACTTTATCTTTGCCAGAAGATTTAAACTTTAAAAGCCTTGCCCTCATAATTTGCAAGTTAATTTATTTATAAAGTAAATATTAACGCTGCTTAAGCTAATTCAAATGAAATTAAAAGTAAAATAAGTAGCCAACCTTATTACTGTCTGTAACCTACTAACACGGTAAGGAAAGCATCAGATGAGCTACCTGAGAAACTAACGTTACGTTTCCCCACTTTAAAACAAACAAACATGGTGGTTCCGTGCCATGTTAATTTGTTTTGACAAAAGTTGCATGTTACGACTTTTTTCACTTTACAAAGCGCAGGCTACTTTAATTATTGTGATCAATTTGCTTCATTTGCAGTCTGGACGCTGAGGGTAAACATCCTGCTGCTCCAACTGCAGCGCTGAGAGGGACTCCTGCGGGAGCGGGGGGAGGCGCCCCCCGCTTTCACGTAAGAGTCTCCAAAAGCCGCCAGTGACACCGTAAAAAGTCGCCAGATTTGTCGCTTGTCGCTTTTTTGAAAAATAGTCGCTGGAGGGGTCTGAAAATTCGCTGAGTTGGCAACACTGCACCTGCGGCGCTGGCTCGCTCTGCCGTATTTTTTCTTCTTCCCCCGCTTTAGTCAAGTGGATGTGATGACGGCGGCGGCGGATGACGCATTAATCGCGCGACACAACTAATCGATGATGAAATTCGTTGCCAACGCTTTTAAAAGTCGATTCGTTGTTGCAGCCCTAATATAAACATCTTATGGACTTGGATACATGCACAACATCTAAGGTTAAAAACAATCTGGGGAATGTGAACTAGGAATAACTATTACGGATCAGCAATGGGAAAAGACGGTATCAGCTATTCGGTTTAGTACACCGGTTTCAACTTTAAATTTAAAGTATTGTACAGAGTCCATTACTCTAAGTCACACCTGTCAGAAATGTTCCCAGAGATAGTAGGTAAATGTGATGGATGTCATACAAGCCCATGTCACCTGAGCCACATGTTCTTTTCGTGTCCGACACTTCATGATTTCTGGAACCAACTTCCTTATATTTTATCTAAAGCCTTCAAAACTAAAATTGATATAAATCCTTATTTAGTTATTTTTGGTGTCCCAGTAAAGTCTATCTTAACAGATCCTTTTCACACCAAATATTGACTTTTACATCCTTTAATGCCAGACAAAAAATTAAGCTTTCTCCTAAAGCACCTTTAATATCTCAGTGGTTTCACAATGTTCTATCATTTCTTAAAATGGAGAAAATACATTTTGCAATGAAAAGAAACAAGTAAATATTCAAAAAATAAATAGGATTCCTTTATGGAATATTGTTAATCGCTTCAGACCTTGCCTTCAGAATAATACCCCCACCCCTTATCTGTGCACAGGTTTGTGTTTTTGTGAGTTTATTTAGATTTTTGTCGATTCAATACATGTGTGTTATATGTAATGGCCTTTAGATTTGGTTTGACTTAAAGTTTGCCCATTGAGAAAATGATGAAATTTTTGTATTTTCTTGATGTAAGACCTGTTTCCTCAAATATATATATATATATATATATATATATATATATATATATATATATATATATATATATATATAAAAGAAAACCAAGACAGAACAAAAATATTTAAGTCTCTCACTATCTCTGCCCATCATTCTGAATTTAAAAAGAGAAATTCTTAATTGTCTGGCGGGACAGTAAGAACATTAATCAAAGAAGAGGCACAGAGGTTGACTATACATCTAGAAAAGCTGTAAAAACCAAGAGCTACTTCTGTTGACAGTACAACTAATACTTGTTTGTAACAAGCAATCAATATTTATACATGTTTTCTATAAGTAAAGAGAAAAGTAGGAGAAAGTAAACATGTGAGACCCTTTGATTAATGTTGTGGCAGAAACTAACACCCCTCTGAAAACACATGAAAGCATGGTGGAAGCAGTATTATGCTAAGGGTGAAAACTTTTTACATTTTAATTTATTTTTTTAGCTGTGATTTTCTCTCCACTTTACAAACGCAAACCAATTTCCATCCATCAATAACTAAATATACAGAAATATATTATAGTCTGAAACTATTTGAAAGAAAATGAAAAGTTCAAATAGTTCACTTTATATTTTGTTTTTATTGGCTTTATTTATTATAATTTAGTAATTTTACTTTTGCGTGTTTTAAACTTGCGATATATATATTTCTGCCTCTTTTATGTGATTATCACTTCTGTTTCTGATTCCCAAAGTCTGGTAAAAACCTGAAATCTAACTGCATTTTTGGCATTAATTGCTTTATTTGATGGAATAAGTTATCAAAGGTTTCGCACCGCCTGTCATACTTTGCATTTCCATGGTGAACTTTAGTGAAGAGACGTGTGTCCTCAAAAGGTTGCGCGTTTTGGGCGACAAATCAGCCCAACAAATGCGGCTGTAGTTTGAAGCGGGGCCGTTGGTTTAACTTTTTTTGAATTTATATGCGTCGTTTTTCTCTTGTTTTCGAAGCCTCGGTCCGAAATAGCGGAAATTTCCTACTGAAATCGGACGCAGAGAGTGCACCTTTGCGCAGAGGCTGGTTTCATACCGAGTGGCTCCTCTGGGTGCACAAAGACAGCGGCTCGGAGAGGAACTTGTTCAGAGAGAACCGGGGACGCTGGGAGGCGAGATCCACAACCTCCGGAGTCCGAGCCTCAACAACCGCGGTGTTTACCACCTAAAACCCTTTATTCTGCTTCCCACCTTTACGTTACAAGGTAAGGAGCTGTTTTAGAAGCGTTTCAGCGGGAATGGAGAGCTGCGGAGCGGGTTAAATCCTCTTCGCTCTGGCTTCCCGAGCGTGGTTGTTTTTGCAGAAAATGGCGTCATCGCCCTCTTGTTTCTGCTTGGCCGCGGCGGGCAGAGGAGTAGTTTCAGGGACTTGTAGCAGCACACCGACGAAGCGCCCACTTCCTCGAAGGCGTAAATCGCGTACTTCGACGTCTTTTATTCGATAATAAAGCGCTGGACGGTGGAAATTTTCGCGTTTTGGCTCCGTGGAAGGACGCGCAAAGATGGAAGGGTCACCGGTCCTGTGCGCCAAGCTGCTTCTTGGAAAAGGTGGCACGGAGCCGCAAAACGCAGCGTTTTGCACCGACTCACGGCTCATCCAAAAGACCTCGGACGGTTTAGCGTCATCCCCACGACGTTGATGGATGTATTTGTGGCGGATCCGCATCGGATCTTTGTGTGTAAATCACTCGGGTTAGCTCGGTTTTACGCCGCACTCCCCTGCCATGCTGCAATCGTTCCGAGGGGCCTCTCTCTCACACGGCTTGAAAAGGTGCATTATATCCTTGGCGTTTTCCTGTGATCAAATAAAGCTGCTCCTTTGTTGTTGGGAATAGCAGCAACAATATAAGCGTGTAAAAGGAGATTTTCGTGGGGGGGTTATATTCGGGGGGGTGCCATGAGAAACGGCGACCTGCCCCTGCGCTCTGGATTTTACAGCTGAACCAAACGAGGACATGCTGAATGAGGTGGAAATAAAAAGTCCCCTGGATGAATCGCAGACTTTTTTTCTCTAAACTGCATGGGGAAGTCCAGGCGCTGCGCAATGATTGTGTTGCTTTGCGCAGAGAAACGGTGGCAGCTGCTGTAACCGCCGCGGAGCGTTTCAACGCGATCTGTTTCTTTTTTTCTCCTCTTTTCGGCTCGTTGTTGGCCAGCCTTTTGTAAATAGTTGAGGACTCTAGGATAAAAGAGCACAATAGTATTCAAGCGGGCCCTTTATGGCCTATGAATGTAGCCCTAAGTCCCCACTCCGACAGCTACGTGTATGCGTCCTCGCTCTGGCCACCACACATCCAGCACAGCGAGGCCACTGGGTTTGCCTGTGCATCCGCTCTGCTTTAGTTCCTCCTGTGCCACAGAAGTGCGCTGCAAACGCAGGTGAAACCCGTCTCCCCCGTGCACATTTTTATTAAGTTTTGAGAGTTATGCAACCTGATCGCCGCTTGACTAGCCCGAAACCCCATCATCGGATGGATACGTTTGCGTCAAATAAGAGGGAAATCGGAAAGGATCGCGCGGAATTGTAACCGATCTGTCATTTGCAAATCACCCAGTGTCATTTGCGTCACAGCCCGCGGGCCTCTCACGCCCATGGGGGGCGATGGAGTTGCAAATGGAGAATGTTTGTGTGTGCTGACGCTGCCCCATCTGAAAAGGGAACCAATAGACGCGAGGAGCGGTCGCCAGTGCGCCGCGAGTCCAGGGCAGTGCACCGGCGTGGGATTCCGTATCAACGCGGAAGATCATCCTGGTTTGCTGGGCTTTCCATCGCTCTGGTCGGGATGCGTAAGCGGATACTAAACCTGCTACGGAGGCCAGTCGGAGAGGAGAAGCACATATCTGTCCTGTTCTCCCCTCATTGTGATCGGTGCATGTGGCCTCTAAGAAGACGCTGGATCCACATGATCGCGATTATATGACCGTAAAGCCTTTATTACCAGAGAGATGACATGGATGTTTTATTACTCGAACCTTGGATCGCTCATTTTTCATTTAAATGTCCTGTATGTTTGTTTGATTCGCGACGTGCCACAAGTTTCTGCTGTGAAAATGAACGGGGCGCTTTTTATCCAGGAAGGTTGTACTTGTTGTCGATGCGCTTTTGGGAACTGCGCATGGTTTGAACAACTGAACCGAAAAGGAAGTGGGAAATCTAGAAATTCTCCAACGCAAGTTTATTTAAACATGGCAATCTGATTTCAAATAACAAGATGCAGACATATGCATTAATATATAGTTGTAACAGTTATGCTGTATCTTTTTTCTAGCTTTATAACCTTAAACTTTAAACCTATATGTTGTGACAATTGGTGGGGAAGGAAACTCACTTTGCATCCTCTGAATATAATTATTGAACTTGAACTTTATTCATGTTATGGCCTTAAGTCATAATTAATGTTATTGAATGTTTAATGGAAACAGAAATTAGCATTAAGTTGCCTGATTTTATGCAAATCAAATCTGAAAAGTGTGGCATGCATTTAACCCAGCTATTTTAACCTTTAAGCTCCTAAACAAGATACAGTGCAACCATCTCCCCGCAGAGGTCTCCAAATAAATCCATCTGTAATGTAAATAATCTCTATTTAATTACAGTTGTTATGACTTTATTCAACAGATATAGTCATAAATACAAAAAACAAGGGATAAACTTGAGGAAAGTTTAAAGCAGGGTTGAATTATAAATCATAATTGAGTGGAAAGAGAGTTTCACTTTTCCAAACTTACCAAAACATCTGGATTAAACCTATAGAAACTTGGTCTGTTTCCAAGCCATGTAGAGGACACTTCAAACAAGTTGAAGAAGTTTATAAACAAAAGATAAGTTGAACTTTTTGACTTTGCCCCAATGACTATATTTAACAGAGAAAAAGAAACACTACACATCACCTCCATGGTGAAACATTGTGGTGGCAGTAGCATGCTGTGGGGATGGCTTTTCTCACCATAGACAAGGAATCCAACCAAAGCTGATCAGATGGGTGGAGCTAAATACTTACAAATCCTGGAAGAAAACCAGTATTAGGAGGTAGTAAGGCTTTTTATCCCGAAGCAGCTAGATTGAAAATTAAATGTTTTAGATCCAAAGTTGTTTATTTCTTAGAACAGTTCAAAGTCCAAGCCTAAACCTGTGGCAGGACTAGGTTTTTGCTGTCATAGACACTACCTTCATGTCTTATTAACGTCGGACTATTTTGAAAAGAAGAATAACAAACAAGTATATCTTTTAAGTATTCAGAGCTGGAGGAGGCACACTTAAAGACTTGCAGCTTTAATTGCAACAAAAAGTAGTTATCCAAACGGCTTGTTCACTGAACAGAATAATGATGCATTTTCAGATTTATTTAGATTTTTAATGGTAAACATTGTTAAAAATGCATTATTTTCCTTTTATTCACAATTATTTGCTGAAAGTCTGTTGTATCAAATCTCCTAAATATATTGGAGTTTGCAAATATAGTATGATACCATTGGGAGAAGTCTGTACTCTTGCATTCTTGGTGGAGGATTCTTAGCTTGAACTATGACAGAGAGAATCAATTTAGCTTGATAGAGGAAATTGGACATGTGACGTAATAAGTAGCAACATGTTTTTAATTTGTAATGCTGATACTTTATTTGCACTGTTTATATTTTTGCTAGAATTAGCTGACCTTTTTCCCCCCTTTAGTTAAGTTGATTGCAGCAAGGACGTCCTGCTTCTTCTTGGCTTAAGTCTCTAAGTCATCAGTATTTGGTTTGCAGCAGTCCACTGATGTCATTGTGTGATTCAGTCAGTTTAATGATGTATTATTGGGTTCAGTCACTGAGTCAGCTTGTAAGGCCCAAGTGTGGGTGAAGTAATTCAACAAGCCTGTTAACCTACTGGTCCCAGAACTAGTCTGCAAAGCAAAGAGAAGCGCATGTGGTGAAAGATCCACTCAGCCAGGCAGATAGAAAATCAGCATCTGGCTCTCAGTTTGTAGGTCAGCTAATTGTTCAGCCTGCACTCTAATTAAACAGCCGAGCTGGTCTGATATGCCACTGTGTCGGTGGTGAAGGGGAATTTTAGTTTTTGGTACAACTTAAAACTCTGTTGCAAAAATGGCTACTTTTTTCTTCCTAGTGATAGAAGTTAGAGAACTTCTTCTCAAATCTGCTGTCAGAACAGTGATATGAATTATTGCTGCTTTCTTTGCTTTTTGATATTCTTAAAATACAGCATCTGTGTTTAATTTCTTTCGGTGTGAATTCTTTTTTTTTTTTTTCTGAACTGTGAATCCACACCTGGCCTGAAAATGCCCATTATGCACATCCCAGGGCTATATTTATTTAAATGTGTCTGCGCTCCTCTCATACATCCTCTGCTGCTGCATCTCTTTATGTTGCTCTATGCTGGATTTAGTGTAAATCACCTCAACAATTTTTGCAGGAGTTTTTATGCAACTATCATGATAAGTTCCAGCATAAGTCTGTTTATGTGATAGATCCCCAATATTCTTCTTAATCATATGATAAAAGTAAAAACAAAAGAGCTGACTTTGAACTTTCTTGAGACTATCTCTTTCAGTAAAGTGAACTTTGATCAGATAAAAACGGAAAGTTAAAGAAATGTGAGGATCATGTGACCAGTGATACTCGGTAGTATAAGTTGGTGTACACCTTTTAGCATGGACTCCAGTTAGATGCATGCGTTTTTTATGGGATGGGGCTCTAATGATCACAAGGCGGTTAGTTTTATTTCAATTTACCTTGAATATTAAACACAGTAATTGGATACAAATATTCTGAGTTTCCACAAACTTTTTGTTTTAAAGGACTTGTTTGGTTTCATATAACAGCTATAAGACAAGTTCAGAAATTTAAAGCAATTTTCAAGTTAATGTGCTTAAATGTATCCCATTTTACTTCTTTATAGAACACTTTAATACCTGTTTAGGAACCAGTTGGATCAACTAATGATTGTTCACAATTCAACTTCTTAAAACTAAACTGTCACCTTCACACAAAAAGAAAAAATGTTGATGGGACAGCAGCACTGAGGTCCAGCATGAAATAAGTCTTAAGACAACATAAGACTGGGAAGGTGCTGACCAAAGCAGACATGTTGAGCTGCTCAAAGAGACAAGTTGGATGTCTTTTTGAGAAAAGTTTAATTTTCAGAGAAGATGTATCAAGTTTTTGCCCTTAGTAACAACTAATGTGCTTTAGTAGGTTACTTTTGAGACAGCCTAAGACATTGTCCAGTAACCTATGCAATAATCCTATTAAAGAAGAGACTATATATAATTATATATCTATCTATCTATCTATCTATCTATCTATATATATATATATATATATATATATATATATATATATATATATATATATATATATATATATATATATTAGGGATGGAACGGTTTATGAACCCGTCCGAACCGTCCGGTTCGACTGTCCCGGTTCGAACCGCATGCGTTGCGTTCGGTTCATGCGCTGCTCCTTTTTCTCATAGGCGAAGCGTGTACACTCTAGAGCAGAAGGTGGCGGTACTGCAACCAAAGCCACCCACCACTAGTAAACAAGAAGAAGAAGCGAAGCTGGCTGTAGCAGAAAAACATCTGTTGTTGTGGAGAATTGTGTGGGTATGGCGAGTGGGAAAGAACAGGAGTTGGAAGACGCGCCAGCAGCACTTTATAGGTCTGCTGTATGGGACCACTTTGCATTTAGAGTGACCTACGATGACGGCGGAAAGAAAGTTGTGGATAAAAGTGCAACAGTGTGCAAGCATTGTGCAACACATGTTGTTTATGCTAACAGCACCACGACCAACATGTCTTTCAGTTTTAACCTGACCATACAAGACATGATAGATTTTCTTAACAATCAACATATACTGAACCGAAAACCGTGACCACGAAACTGTGAACCGAACCGAACCAAACCGTGGATTTTGTGCACTGTTCCACCCCTAATATATATATATGGACACAGTGTATATACTGTTTATAGACCATACACCTTTTCCTCATTTTGGCACCTTCTTTTTGACTATTGAACTGATGTGACAAGTGAATTTTTCCACTGTGAGATCAATGAAGTCCATCTTATCTTAAATAATAATAAAAAAAAAAAAAACAGGATTGATTAAAGATTCTCTAACATTACCCTAAATCAGCAGCTAGACAAACTGGATCACAGTTTAGAAGTTAATTCGGGCCGTGATACCAAACAGACCAATTTCTCCAATTTCTATATATATATATATATATATATATATATATATATATATATATATATATATATATATATATATATAAAATGTATATTTATGTATGTATGTATGTCTATTTGTGTAATTTTAGATCAAAACAAATCAACAATAGTTTTTAAAATGTGCATAGGTAACCTTTTTTTTTTTTTACAATCAATTCAGAAAAGTTGTTAGAAGAAAAAAAAGCTAGAAATACTTTTGTGGCCTTTAAAAGTTATGTAAACATCTGACCACACCTGGATTGTAGTTATTACATTTTTACAACACTTTCACATCTGTGTTTTATTTTTAGTCTCAGGAAGTCACCTTTCACTTCAAACTTTACATGTAGGCGACGTGATCATATTTGGCATATTGCATCTTTGTTCACACATGAGGCTGCTTATAGATTGTATGTGAATTTAAGATATATACAGTAGACATGTTTACATAACTACTAGAAGTATCCATATATCAAATCATCCCTATCTGCACTTGCAGCAAATACATTTGCATTGCTGATGTAAACTTGCCATCACATCACAAGAATAATGCCTAAACAGCAGCATTTAGTGACTGAGCGCAGAGCGTTTGTAATACCAAGCCCTGTGGATGTGTACCAGTTGGCTATGGCGCTGTCTGTATGGTCCTGTGTCCAGCTGGTATCGCTGGTGTGTCTGCCAGCTGTCAGCATCATGTCAGAGCATATCGTCCTGTCAGGCTGCCTCTGCTCAGCCGCAGGAAATAAATATCAGAGGACACTGATTGCTGCCACACATCTTTTAGCTC